TCCGGGTCCTCTCCCCCCAACCTCCCCACTCTTTCCGTCGCATTGGTCTAAGTTCTCGAGGCGGAGAGAAAGGAACAGAGTGATGGACGGCTACCTGGGGCGCTGCCAGGTGGCCTCGATCACGTGAGTTCGTGACGTAAGGGGTAAAAGAATCTTGATGTCATGCGGCTTCCCCTGACCTGGATTCTATCTCTCCGTCACCTGCAGAATCGCTGATTAATGCCTACAGTTCAAAATAGTCATTTCGACTGACCGGAGTCTATGGTGGGTATGAACTATGTGAATAGGCGAGTTCGGAGAACCCTCGCTTAAATTTAGGTATACATTGTATGGCAGTTTTGGAAAGAAGCTGTTAACCAGATTTTCTAGCCCAAATCTTTTCGTCACTTTATTCTTATATTCTACAATATTTCTGAAAATAAACCCCAATTTTGGATCCAACAGCGAAAATTTAAGTCAATATTAAGTTTTTACTCAAAGAATTTGGTTATTTTTGTTCCAATCTTCTGAAGGAAAGTGCAGACTATAAACAGAAGTATTTCGTGAATTTGTGATGAAAAGAGTGAACTTGTGGTGAAAAGGTTAAGTTACACTTGGACCATATATGTATGTCAGAATACATGATATCACATATAGTTCATATCCATGTACTACCGGTATATCTTGTTTCCTCACGATTATTTTTTTAAATTTTTTTATCACCAGAAGTCAGCAACTTTTATTCTGGTTATAGACGCGATTAATTCAGCCTTTTCTTGACTACAATTGGTGATGGACATATCGTGATGTTTCCGAAAAGCTCAGGTACATGTATAGATATTTTTTTTTACCCTAGTTGTTTAGCTTATAATCTTCTTTGTAGGTCACAGAATTAAATGCCATTTTCAGCTGTCATGGTTGTAAATGTCTATTATGTAAAATACTTTTTTGCTTGTAATTTATTTTTGCTGAAGGGATGATTCAATGAAAATTTCATTGTTCTTATATTTTACAGTCAACTCGTCAAAAACCATTGAATATAAATCCTATACAAAACACCCAAAATGTAAATAAAGTATTTTACAGTACCACGATAATAAAATCACACCCTTATTTTATTTAATAATATTAATTACTTTATTTATTCAACATCTGGCAGCGAAAATGATTGAATTCAAGAGTGACAAATTCATGTTGCTCTCCTAAAACCACTGAGGTGAATTATGGAGTGATTTTCATTATAGATCATGTCATAGATATTCA